AGTTGCCAAGGTTGGACACCCCTGCTCTAAAGCTTCAAATATGAGGTCCAAGCCAAGAAATGAACAAAAATGCTCTATTAAAATTGCTAAAGAAATCTCAATTTTAAAATCATAATCAACATACATTATATATTTTAAAATCCAACTCGTGATTGCCTAATATGGGATATTCCAATGAACTAAATAGATAATATTCATATTAACGATACTTTTAAAATTATGGTAGGAACAGAATCATCCAAATAAATTTCAGTGCTGATTGCCATTCACAAATTTTTGATGCTGCTAAGGAGCCTGGATCAAGTGATTTAAAAAACTGATAGAGAGCTCATTTATTTCCAACAGCCACAAAAGATTAACAGCCAGATTAAAACTGAAATACCAACCTGGCTGATTTGAGCATCCATTTTTAGAAGACACACCTCCTTCTCTTGTTCCCTTATCTGATTTCTCAGTTTGGCCACAATTGTGAGGACTATGCCTTGCAATGCTTGCTGAAGTTGGTTGTTTTTTAGTATCAGCTGCACTTTGCAATTTGCTGTGTTCTGCTTCTTTGGAATTTAGATTTATTTCACTGATTTTAGAAAAAATATAATCATTACTGGAATCATTATATACAATAGGATTTTCTTTGCAAATGTCTAAGGAAGGAGACATATGAAAAACTGAGTCCTGCACTTCTCCATGGTCTCCATGGCTGTCTGAGTTTAATGATTTTTCTGACTGCTTACAATTCAGCTTTCCAGTATTCATTTCTAGATCACTACCATGTGTAACATCAACAGTCCAACCTTGACTTGCCCAGTAGCGAAACTGTTCCCAGTAATACCAGTAGAGCTCATTATAGTGTTGCTCCCACTTGTCCTTCATTTCAGGATTATTCCAAGGTTCAAGATTAGCCTCCTCCTGTTTCTTTTCCCAGCTTTTCCATAGAAGCTCTTCTCCAAACTGATGCCAGTATTTCTCCCATTCTTCATTTATATGAAGTTCATTCAGTGGCATCCTTCCATTTTTACAGCATTCAGCATAATCATTTTCGTTTTCCACCAAGATTTCATCATCAGAAAGAGAATGGTCATCATCATCCTCTTCCAAGGACTGCCACATTGTTTCATGGATATCTTGTTGTAGCAATTTTTTCTTCCTTTTGTTTTTCTTTGTCATTTTGTTAACTATCTTGCCAGTCTTCTCAGGGGCCTAAAATGTAATATGAAAGCAAGCAAATAGAGTAATTCTGGATTGCATGTTCAGGTTCAATATCCTAAACTTATTTCATTTTCCAATTTGGCACTTTCTGATGGACTGAGATTATACCAGTGAAAATATCAACCATTAAAACTAACACTGGTGGAGACTCTGAATGCTTCCTCAGCATTATTAGAAGAGCAAGAGCTTAAAAAAAATGACAGGGATTTCTTTTTGAAGCCACAGTATGGCTATTTTATCAATAAAGAGAAAAAAATATCTTCAAAGATTCATGAACTGAAGCAATATAAATAAGGCCTGCATCTTCAAATAATGAGCTTTTGGATTTCCAGTTTATTGCTTCAATTAATCATAACATACTTTATTGTTATTTGAGACCCTTTAGGTACATTTGCACTTGAATCTTCTTTTGCTATCAATCAGACAAAATAAAATGTCAGAAGACTGTGAATTCTACTCCCACCTTAATCATGAAAACCAGCTGGGCTACTTTAGTCTAGTTTCCCTTGTATCTGTGATTTAGTTTCCTGTGCAGGGTTGTTGTGGGGAAAACAAGAGGAGGAAAAAGTATATTCACTGCCTTCAGCTACTTATATAGTAATAAAGGCTGGATGAAAAAATAACCTATGAAATAAAAAGCATTAAAAATCACTATTTTCTTTACATGCAATGCAATTCCACTACATATTTCTTAATTTATTTCCTAATTCAATAATTTAAACTGAATTAAATTGGGTTTTACCGCTTTTGTTTTATTGGCTGCCAAACTGCCAAACTGTAAGGGTAACCCCATACTCTTCATGAGTTCAGTTTCTGAATCTGGTTCGACATCATCCACTTCCAGAGCAAGACTGTTACATTTTTCAGTAGTCTCAAAGATTGGTTTCTCCTCTTTTTCGTTATCTTCAGTAACTTCCTCTTCTCCTGTTAATACACAGTAGAAGTTTAGAAGGTAAAGTCCATCAATTTTGGATTTCTGATGAAGAAAACTAGTTTGGTTTCAGGTCTAACATCAGGTTTGGGGTTACAGATTCTCCCTCTGCTATCTACCTTTTTTTTAAAAAAAAATACAATGCTCAGTTAAGAAGCACTTGTTCGGCGACCAGATTTAACATGGTGCTGAATAAGTAGTATTTAATAAAATTCTTTAGAATAAAGAAGATGTTCCTCAAAAGTCCATTCATGATAGGAGCCCTCCCAGTCATGTGATCACAATTCATGTGCTTAGCAGCCAAGGTGGATTTTCTACCTTTGCAATGCTGGTGGTCACATGATCAGGTTTTATAATCTTTCCTGCCAGCTTCCCAACAAGCAAAGTTGATGAAGAAGCTGGCAGAAATTAGAAGTGACTTTTTATAAAACCTTTAATGCACTAGTCAATTAAACACACCTGAAGATATTAATTCTAATACTGGTCTATAACAATGGTTGCAAAAATCCAAAATTAACAAACTTTTCAATAAAAAACTTACCTATGCTGTCATCAGCCTCTTTAACATAAAAGCCTTTTAAGCCTAGTTTGTATAATTTTCGATCTCTGGGGGAAAAAAATAACATCAATGAGATATGGGACTAAAGCATCAAGGAACTACACAAATGGGTAATAAAAGGGGATTTTTTTTCAGTCTGTATTTCTTGTGCTTAATTTGCTTTCAAAACTTAACTTGGTATATCAGTGCCAAAATTTTAATCCAGCCAAAAATAAGCATACTGCATACAACCTAATTTAAGCTAGAACATGTACAAGAAGAAGGTTGCAACTGCTTAATTTTACAGAAGAATGAATACTATTGTTAGGCAGAAAGAAAGATCTTCACATTAAAAAATAAGCAACGAAGAAACAGATTTTATCACTTGGATCCCTCCAATAGTTAGAAACGTATAATCAAATGTTTTATTTGATCAGTCCAAAGCAGGGAACCACCCCTGAAAAAGACCTCTTTTGCATAGGGAGGATATCTGGATGAAATCCCTAAATATTGGCAGACTTGTGCTGAGATAAATAATCCTTCAAATAGCCTTGAAGTGCAGCAGTGAAGAGTTATAAAAGGGTAGACTAGTATTTTCAATTTGGTTATAAAACCTATGTAACAGCTGAAGCAGACAAGATAATCAGAGTTGGAAGGGACCTTATAGGTCATCTAGTGACTAGTCCAACCCTCTGCCCAAGCGGGAGACCCTATACCATTTTTGACAAATGGCAGTCCAATCTCTTCTTGAAGGTTTCAAGTGATGGCGCTCCCACAACCTCCAAGGGCAAGCTGTTCCATTAGTTGATTGTTCTCACTGTCAAAAAGTTTCTCTTTATTTCCAGGTTGAATCTCCTTGTTCAGTTTCCATCCATTATTCCGTCTGGCCTACAGGCGCTTTAGGAAATAGCTCCCTGTGGCAGCCCCTTAAATATTGGAAGATTGCTATTGTGTCTCCCCTAGTCCTTCTCTTCACTAGACTAGCCATGCCCAGTTCCTTAACCAGGAAGCAGATAAGAATATTATTAATAAAAGTTAATTCCTATTTGCAGTTTAGAAGACATATTCCAGACTAGTTCACAAAGCATCATTCTATGCTTATAATAGTAAAGTAAGTTGCAGCTCTTTAGTTTATTCTAGTAACATTTCCATGAGTCATACAATATATTAAAACACAGTATGGCTTTTTAAAATTAATGGATAATGTGGTTTGTTTATTTTGGGCTCATGTTATTGTACAAACACTACTTGGTTAGACTGTGTTGTATTAAATGGATACAGCAATTTCCCCCTACAAAATGAGTCTTTACAAAAAAAAATAATGAAGAAAAATGCCCCGTCTTTTGCTCCACTTCAAAAAGCATGCCAGGCAACAAATCAACCCCCGTGCAAGGATACACTGCTCGCCTTTGGGTTTAATTTCCACTGAGATCTACGCGAGGGTGATAAGAATAACTTCCTAAGCGCTGAGAGGTCGCATGGTCATCTGTTATGCCTTTGAATTGGCACAAGGTGTTCTTTTTCTTGCAAAAGATTAAGAGGCTCGACTTAAATCAGAAATTCGAAATCCTCGGCCCCGCATCTCTCCCCTCTCCCAAGCGACAATCGCGTAAATCAGTGTTTTTCCACCTTCAGCATCTTTTAAGATGGGAGGACAGCAAGCTGTCTGGGGGAATTCTGGGATCTGAGATCTAAAAGACCCTGAAGTGGAGAAACACAGATCTAGAGGCGACCGAGAAGAGCTTCGGGTTCGACCGCCTGGCGCCGACTCACTCGACGAACGCCCGGGAGCACAAACAGAAGATGGCTCCCACACCGCTGCTGCCTTCTCCTCTGCTCAGCGCCATTAGCACCTCCGCCACCAGCAGGCTTCTCTCGCCCTCGCGCAGCATCGCGATCTGGGGCCGCCGCTGCACCGCCTGCTATTATTCCCTAGCAGCAATTTCGATCCTCCCGAGGGAGCAAGCATGAGGTCGGCCTTATAACGGAAGCGGATCTCCGCGCCCGTTACCCTCCTTGGAGTCCGGAAGGGGAGGAGCCTGCCTGCAAGCAGATGTCAGCAAAGCCGTCCTTTTTTTGGGGGGGGTGCGAGGCTGAGTTGTGAGCGAGAATTAACAGCTTTCAGTATAAATTCTGAACGTCCTGTAGAACAGGGGTCTCCAACCTTGGCAACTTTAAGACTTGTGGACTTCAACTCCCAGAGTTCCTCAGCCAGCTGGCTGAGGAACTCTGGGAGTTGAAGTCC